CCCCATGGGACTTTCACATATATTTCTTAAAGAGTGACATGTTCCTACTAGGTGGAGTTTATTTTTCCTTGTGACTCTGGTATATATATACATATAAACATTTTCAGATTACTAAATTAGGCAGGATTTGGTGGAGACAATAGCTTGGTGGAAACCTGGAGTGGGTGGAGGGGAAGGGTTGATGTGGTGTTAGAGAGTAGGGACGACTCCAGACATGTGCCTCACATCCCCACGTTCTCCACTGGAATGGCCTGCACTTAGCTTCTTCAACATGAACACGGGACAAAGCAATCACTATACTGTACTGTTTCCCTTCTGCAGTGTGAGTGATGACAGGGTCTTAAATCAATCACTAAGACACAAACATTGCTGGGAATGAGGAAGAGGGTGAATGGTGTAGAATCCAGCATATTCCGTGGCTCTTGGGAACGCATACTAGTTACTTCACAGAAAGAAATAGTGTTGCTTTAATAGTAAGAGGCAGATTTAACAGAGATTCGAAATATAATTTCCTCCTTCTCTAGCCTGAGAGAGGGTTCAGCGAAGACAGAGGGTGAAGGAAACTCAGGCTGAGAATTGAGAGTGAGCAAGATAGAACAGGGCGGAAGAAGGAAAGCAATGTCAGTAACACTGTTTAACTTCATGCTTAAGAAAACGCCTGGTGTTCCCAGCGACTCTCCCTACCCAATCGGACCACTATCTGCTTGTTCTCTGAGATACTTGATATCTGAGAAGCAAATACCAGTCCCGCCAACAAACAGAAAATCAGCACTCAGAAAACTGATTCGTTTTTGTCAAACCCTTAATGTTATCAGCGCTTTGGGGTCATTTTTGCTTTTCCTATCAGCAAAGTAAGATTGGTCTCTAAACTTAAATGTTTACTTCTTTTGGGCCATGTCTATTGAGGATGAATACTCTATGACCCACTCATATAGCTCACATTTACCATTTGAGCTAAAGACTCCATTATTTATGTAGTCAAAATCAAGTTGCCCGCCCCACTCCGTTACTGAATGCTGCCTCCCAAAGATGACTGTGTGTTTATGATACCACTCTGTGCCATTTTACTTTGCTCTTCTCTGCCACCCTTAGAGCAATTTGACATGATCTCCTTACTGCTTACTTGTGTGTTGCCTGTGTCTTCACAAGATGCACCCATGGGAGCAGGGACAAGGTGTGTCTTAATTAGTGCCTTAAACAATGCTTGGGATACAACAGACACTCAATAAGGTGCAGTTGTATAAATGAATATATATATGAATAAATGGCATTGGGACACCTGATAGATACGTGGTTTCCGGATTGAAACACCACAGGGAGATAGTTGAGAACTTTTCATGTTTCCTACCATGAAACTTCCGAAAACAACCCCATCGAGTCCATGTTTAAGTAGTCAAATGTTTTACTAAGAATCTACGATGTGCAAAGGACTGGGGATGGGATACAGAGATGTCGTCTCTTCCAGAAAGAAGATATGCGTTCTTCGAACAATCTGAGAGACCTTTAACTGGAGCTAGTTGCCCTTGGTTCTCTTGAACTTGGTCGCAGTTGATTTATAGCTTCATTTTGTTTTTCTGTTTGATTTTCTTCACCAGGTGTGGGGAGTGAGGTTCCAGCCAGGAGCATCTGTGTGAGTCTACACACCCGGCCACTGCCGGTCCAGAAAATCAAGTCCTACACCATCAAGGAGGGCTCCATGCGAGCGGTGATGTAAGTTTCCATCCACCGAAAGCTACACTGGGGGTAGGACCGTCTGGGAAGTCTGCTCAGCTCAGGAAAAATAAATCAGCACGCAGGACAACTTCCCTTGACCCAGTATCCCCTTTGTGCGTCCTTATGAACTATAGCTTCATACAGTGCCGCAGAATAAATACTACCCCCCAAATTGTGTTCTACTTCAGGACTACGTTTTGAGAGGGCAACCCCAGGTCAGGATTTTGTCACATGACCACACTGGTAAGAGAGGCATAGGGCTGGGGAAAGTATATCACCGTGCGTCTCAGCTGGCCTCACACGCCAAGACACGGTGTCAAAAAGTAGCCCGCATGGCATTGTTATCTTTCTAAGATGTCCTTTTCAGAAGGATCAGCCCTTTTCAAAATATGATTGCATGATTGCTGTAAAAATTAAATAAGAAGTCATCCTTTTAAAAATATATATCCACCATGCCTTTGTCAGAGTTGGAAAGGAAGTACATAATATTTGGACTAACCAACTCATGGTGACCTCATGTGTACAGACTGGAACTGAACTTTGTAAGACTTCCAAAGGCCAGCCCTTTATTCCAACCCTTTGGTTAGTAGCTGAGCTCTTAACCATTTGTGCCACCCGGGGAGACCATCACTGGACTGGATGACCTCAGATACATAGTTTTGTTATAAGATTTGGAAGCATATATGAGAAAAGGAACTAATGAATTAATGTGAAAGAGGAGCTGAGGATCACCTGCTGATATTTCTCTTTTATGTTAAAATCTATGACAGAAGTAAGCCGTTCATTGTGGTCTTGTGGTTCGGAAAGATAATTTCTTCCTGTAATTCTTACACAGTCTAAATTCATCTTCTGGCCCCGAGGCTTTGGGAATGTGGCTAACTCTTTCTTTTCTTTATGTTACAGTCTTATTACCAAGCGTGGCCTGAAAATCTGTGCTGATCCAGATGCCAAGTGGGTGAAATCGGCAATTCAGCATGTGGACAAGAAGGCTACAAGCCAAAAAAACATGACCCAGAGCAACTTTACCAGGCCCCAACAGTCCACCAACACTGCTGGGACCCTGACCAGCTAGGGACCTGCTGGCACTTTGTCCCTCTTGCTTGTCAGCCAGATCCTTTCCTTTACCAGCCATGGACTAAGTATTTACCGATTGAAAAAATACTGCAAGAATAAACTTCTATTTTTGTATTTTACTTTTAGGTCTTTTATGCTCATTTAGATGTTCTAATTAATAAATATTTATTATATATTAGGAGAAGAGTAATCTATCATTTATGTTCTATTTCTGTTTAAATGTTCTTCCCTTTGATAGCATCCATTATGGGAGAGATTCTGGCTAACGTTCATGTACATTCATCACTCTGGGGTTCCAGCTTCTAATGGCTTTTTCTATACGAGTCACTAGTGACTACTAAGACAATGACAGCAATTCAAGACCTAGTTCAACGCGTCTTCATAACAGAGCTCCAGTTATGGAGCGCAAGAGAAAATAACCCAAGTACCAATGTTTTCCATAATGAGGGTCCAGTACCTAAGAAAATGGCATGATTTGAGTTTCATCTCAAACATGTTCTCATACCTCCTTGTGTTTCATTTTGATCTGCTATAAAAGAAAACCAAAAACCAGACAGGGCTTATAATTCCTGTCTTTTTACCAGAATAGCAAATGTTAAACTTTGGATAGAAAGATGTCATATTCAAGGAGAAATCAATGTTTTTTAAATTTAGCAGTAATCTCTCTGTGTTTCTGCACCTGGCACTAGTCTCATTATGACAGGTCTGATTTCTTTGTCTACAAGTTTTTAATGCCACAAAGGTTGTCCATGGACCATTTTATGAACCTGATTACAAGTTGCAATAAAGTTTTAATAAATGTTTATCTGGTCCCTCAACAGCATGAGTACTAGCTCTCTTGTAGCCCCAGCTAATTATTGATATATTTAGTGTTTATGGCTCTACTGTCTAAAGCTGATGACACATTCTTCCATTTCTCTTGAACTGGACATAAGGGCTGATGTTGTCTTGGTAATTTCTTGATCGTTTCAAGGGAAGAGAGAGCACTAACTAGTGGTTCGTTATGAGTCAACAGAAAGTCATTTCAGAGGCTCACTGAGGGCAACCTGCCATAATCAGCTTCCTACTAGTTGTATAACTAGTGAACCAGAGTGGAAATCATTAAAAATAAGCCACCTAGACAAAGATGGAAATGCCTATTCTTTCTCAATCTATTCACCCACAATTCTTTTACAGCTGATCTTACAAAAACAAGTCTGAGCTAGGAATAAACTAAGTAGTTTATGAGGGGTGAAGATAACAAAGTTACAAAAGATTAATAAAATGTTTCCGGGATTAAGTTGTGTATAATATATGTGCGTCCCCAAAATATTTCACAGTGGGCTTCATGAAATAATAATAATATAATAGGTGGGGAAAAATTGCCATGAACTCATCTCACTTTCTGAAGAAGCAGGATGTGATGCCACGATTTTCAGATCCAATAGTTATAAGAACTTTGAACCAATTGGGCACTCGGAATTTATTTAGGCAGGAGCTAAGCATTCATCACTGTGGCTCACTGGATTTCAGTTCAAGGAAAAGTGAAGTCTAGGAAGAAAAGATCTCAAAATATTTCTGCTGTTATTTTTAGCGGCAGGGACTCCATGAGCACTGTAGCATAGCCTAAGATATCGATTTATGCTTGAGTTGCCCGTTTACTGGTCTGTCCTCCACATGAGACGGGATGAGGTTCAGAGATGCTATTCACATGAAGTTCCCAATGCCTATTGGGAGCACTGGTGGTCAACTAATACTTGTGGAATAATGGAGAGAAAGGAAAACACATTATTTCTGGTTTTTTTTTTAATGTATCTAAACTGATCTTATAGCACCAAATGAACAATAAAGAATAAGTTCAACAAAACAAAAATTTTTGGTGCTTTCCACAGGACAGGCATTATGCTAGGCATAGGATCTACCAGTATGGAGATGAGGACAAGACTGTTTTGGACATCCATAAGTCAAAGTCCAGATATATGACTACAATGTAATTCAGTGCCGGGTTTATTATTGATTTTGGTTTTCTAGTTGATTTGTGACTTTAAAAAGGCCCTAGCTTTGCAGAGTACAACCACTAACATTTGCAGCAAACCTCTGTAGTGCAGGATTTAAAGCAAGAATTCACAGATTCATGTTTAAGAAACAGAAACAACGTGGAGAAGAGAGTGGTTATTATCTTGTGGATTCCCCCCCAAATTTTCTGAACTACAGTATCATTATTAGTAAGAACTGAATGCCTGGAAGATATACCCTTCGCTTGAAAAAGCTTGTCATTAACATATTGTTCACTTCACTGTAAAATTTCTTGGTCAAAATTAGATTTTTGTAGTCATTTTTTAAAAACAGGTATTTGATAAAATTGTCCAGTGAAGCCTAGATGTTCATTATAATTTAACTGATGCAAATTGGAGCTATAGAGAGATGGAATGTTTTGCCACATGGTTATTGGGAAATTGGGACTTGATTCGAGATATTCAACTTTCTATGATGTCACAACTTCACAGAGAAGAGCTATTGTGTAAGGTTCCTCTTAAATGGGTCTAAAGATAGTTTTCTGAACATGCTTATATCATCTTATGATCTCAAAATGCTTAAGTTAAATTATAAATATCAGAAGGCTGTTTTATGGAAGGAGCTGTGGTGATGTAGTTGGCTTGCTAACTGCAAGGTCAGCAGTTTGAAACCACTAGCCAGCCATGCCTCGATAGAAAGACGGAGCTTTCTACTCTAATTAAGATTTACAGTCTCAGAAACTCACAGGGGCAGTCCTGCCATGTCCCATAGGGTTGCTGTGAGTTGGCATCAACTTGATGCCAGTGTGGCTTTTTGTTTGTTTGCTTGCTTTATTTTACAGCAATATTGAAGATGCAATTCACCTCTCTAGACTATATTGAGCAAGTACGTCTCATTTTTTTTTTATAACACACAAAAATAAAAACAGAAACAAACCCACTGCCCTTGAGGCTCATTGCTCTCCTACAGAGCATAGTAGAACTGCCGCAGAGGGTTTCCAAGGCTGTACATCTTCATAGAAGCAATCACATCTATTCTCCCACGGAGTGGCTGGTGGATTTCAACCTCTAACCTTTCAGTTATCAGCTGAGCACTTAACCAGTGCACAACCAAGGCTCCCTATTTCTTTCTTCTTTTTTTTTTATAACATGGGTGCCTTGGTGTAGTTGGCTACAAGTGGGGCTGCTAACTGCAAGGTCAACAGTTGAAACCTACCACGGAGAGGGAGAAAAAAGATGCTATCTAGTCCTGTGAAGGGTCACCGTCTTGGAAACCCAAGGGGGCAGTGCTAGGCTATGCTGTAGAGTTGGCTGTTAGTCAGAAGTGCCTTGATGCCGGTGAGTTTTAGGCTGTGATGTTTAAATAAATTTTAGGTAATCACGACGCTTTTCTTACTTTACAAATATTAACTCATGTAATCATATATAGAATGCATCCATTAAAGATGGAACAACTGAAGGATGACAAAGTTAATTTGCTTAGGCTCCTTTGGTGAATAAAATGACAGATTTGAACTTATGCAAACAGGATCCTATGTTTATGCTGTTGAGCACTATGTTATAGTGCCTTCCTTCCTCAAAAAGTCCATTTCTGTAAGATAAAACCCCTTTTTAAAAAAATCCACAAAACACTGATTATTTTGGTGTATATATAATACTTGTGTCTTGCCTACTTAGCTACTTCATTCACTCATGCATTAGTTCAGTAAATATTTGCTGTATACTATATGCCCCAAACTGAACTGTCTGATTTCATGGAACCACCTGCCCTTTCCCCCGAGGACTGGAACCATTCTTTCATGTACTCACTTAATCAACAAATGTGTGTTCTGTGTCTAAAGCATTCCAGATGTTTTCCAGGTGTTGGAATGCAGTCCTTACCTCCAAGCAGCTTGAAGTACACAGGGGCTGGGGGAACTTTTCAGCAGACACTTTCAGCACAGTGTAATGAGGACAGAAGGTCTGAGCCGTGAAGTGTGGAGAAGAGAACTTGCCCCGGTCTTGCAGGTGGCAATTCCCTCCGCCCCCCAAAGCGATGTATTTAAAACTTTTTAGAAAATAACCTTATCACCTTCAAAGTACTCTCCATTACACTTAATATAAATCTGTGAATCCATTCTTGTGAACATTTTTCAAACTCATCTGCTTGGATGGCTGACAGCACCTCCCTTGTTTTTTTCTTCTCCTCTTCTGTGTCATCAAATCGCTGTCCTTTTATGTCCCTCTTCATTCGTGGAAATAAAAAGAAGTCATATGGCGTGAGGTCAGCTGAGTAAGGTGCACGGGGCAAGAGAGGCATGCTGTTTTTTGCCCAAAACTGGTGCATTGAGATGGCTGTATGAGCAGGTGCATTGTCGTGGTGGCAGAAACAGTCCCCCATCTGCCACAAATCAGGCCCACACTGTTACGCAATCTTTTCAGAATCTCTAAAGAGAAAGCTTGATTAACAGTCTGACCTGGTGGAATGTACTCCCAATACACTAGGAGTCGACATTTCCATTCGGTAAGTTGATGGACATCCAGAATGAGGTTTGTCATCAATCGACATTTCACCTTTTTTGAAATGAGAAATCACTTGTAAACTTGAGTTTTTCCCGTAGCATTGCTCTTGTAAATTATGTTCAACATCACAAAAGTTTCTGTGGGCATTTTCTGAGCAGGAAACAAAACTTCATATCTACATGCTGTTCTCTTAAATCAGCCATCACCAAAAAAAAGCTAAGTTTGAGTGAAACAGCTTTTACGAAAAACTTCACTGTGACCAGCGAGAACCTTCCCAGGCGACACCACTGGGTGCACTAATTCAGAACAAGTTGCTGGATGCTCACCTAGTGGGAGAAATGAGTACTACAAAAGATCTGTTCCACCCAGCACAGTTCTGGGTTCTTTTGGTTACCCCTCATATGTGGAATGAAGTCTCTCTCTCCTCGCTTCTAAGAAACTTTCTGTCTGTACTTCTTGTATTTCTGCTCGAGGTGTTATACTAAGAAGCTATGGGGAAATG